GTTGATGTTTGGTCGAGAACTTCGGTTGCCAGTAGATCTAACAACAGGACACCAACCTTATGAAGAGTTGCCTGAAAATGCGTCAAAGTTCGTGAAAGTGTTATCTGAAAGGATGAATGATATTCACCATCAAGTGTGTTCAAACGTGAAAACGTCTGCTGATTCGATGAAGTTATGCTATGGTAAGAGATCTACTGAAGTCAGCTTTGTACCAGGAAACCAGGTGTGGTTGTATAATACCAGGAAGACCAAAAAGAAGTCTCCTAAGTTGTCTTATCCATGGGAAGGCCTATATGACATAGTGGATCGTCTCTCAGACGTGACTTTCCGAATAAAATTTGGTCGGCGAGGTAAGCCAAAGGTGGTGCATGCCAACAGGCTTTAGTGTTATCACGGTCCAGGTCATTTCAGTTGGAACGAAGTGAACAATGGAAGAAATGACGCTGCTGAAGATGTGTCACCTGAAAAAGCCACTGTCGAAGAAGAAACTCTACAAAGTACATAGAAAAGATTACCAGCCATAAAATATACTAGACAAAATACAAAGCAAGTCCTTTAGACATAAACAATTGAACAAGAACAAATCTAAAAAGTTGCAACACTTTTAAATTAAAGAAAAAATGACACAATTTACACTGACCCAGAGTTAGCACGTGGAGCTGCTCCAGTTTATTTTGATTCTGCCAGCAGATCTCAACTGTAGCCGATGCTTTATGGTTGGTTGTTATGATGGTTCTCAGTATAGTTCTGGCTTTGGCTAGGGCCGTATTTGTGTCAAATAGCTTTTCCCATAAGTGATACTCTTCTTCCTCTACAACCAGTTCTTCTATCTGTTGTAGAAGGCTCATTCAACGGCCATCTCTTGGTACTGACATTTATACACAAAGATTTGCTCTAGTTTGGGATAGTCTATCAATACCTTAGAGGGCTTAGATGGAATCTCCACTCTCAACTCTCTCTGTGGCTAGCCATGCTACTGGTGAAGCCTCATTCATTTGCCAAAGTGGAGGCATCTTTCCTTGTCTCCATGGTAAGGATGATGGTTGTTTATGCTGCATAGATCTTCAGTAGTGATGGAGACAGTCCATGAGCTGGCTATCTGGTCTGCATCACTGTGGCAAGAATGGTGTTAGACCTGATGATCAGGTTCTCAGTGGTAGCTGATTCAGGTACCTGTCCAACTTTAACATTCCCAGAGCCTGGTAATCTCTCAAGAGGATCCAAGCTCTGAAAATGTTAAATGTTTTCTTTGGCTTTGAGATGTAGTGTGGTAATTGAATTTGTGATTACATCTGTTGGCATTGATGTATTGAGATGTTGCACCCACTGATAGGACATCTTACGAGTAGGTCCTTCACTGCTGTCAGGATGGGTGAGGTCAGTTGTTGGGTCACTTAGAGGTTTCAGAGTCAATTAAGTTGTAGTCAATGCTGCTCATTCCATGTCAGGTACATCCAGTGGAGACTTCAATTACATAGGACTTTCAACTACCATGGGGCTATTCAACCACAGAGACATCATGATCAGCCTGATGACAGACACAATTAGCATAATAAACAACAGAATGGTAACAGGAATCCACCCATTCACTGTAGAACTCGTCTTGGTTGTACTGGTCTTCGCTAAATTGATACTCCATTATGCAGTGGAGAATACCTTGGTAGACCTTTAGCAACAAGTTAGAATAACTACTTGCTGGCTGAAGAAAGAGAAAGTTAGAATGTTCAAAAATTTGACCTTAAATAGCAAAAGAACAGATTGAAAAAATAAGTTAAGGTGAATTTCAATTGGTCAAAGCTTCAACCAGATGTGTAGGCATAAAAGGGTAATAATGTCTTGATTACTGTTTTAAAATACTTTAGAAATTAAGTCATAACTCTTTACCTTAATTGAGTAACAATTTTACAGGCTTTACATGTACTCACCAACAAAAGACGTTTTTCTAATGTCTGTGGACATATTTATCTCCAGGCTTCATTGGGTCTCTGCTTGACCAATGCCTTTATCCCTGTTCCGTCTGTTGTCTCTACCAGGTAACAGCTAACACAGCTTACTCTTCAACCCAGCCTCATTCCTCTCTTCATTACATGGATAGAACTCAGCTTCAGCAGGAAGGAATGGTGATTGAGGCTGCAAAAATATTCCTCCAAACATGAGCTGACTTAGGTTAGGCAATGCTGACATTATCTCTCCTTGGGGAGGGACCTTCTTTAAGTCATAAGTTTAGTACTAGTTTTTTGTAGGAATTACTAAATTTCACCACACTGGTGTTACTTTTTGTTCCCCTATAGTACACATACAGCCTACATTTTCATGAATTATAGCTACACTTTTTATTGGAGCATTGTTATGAAAGAAAGCTCAGTAAAACTGTGTGCTTATTAAAATATTTCATTCTACATGATTAAAATATTCAATCACAACTGAATAAACATTGGATATATAAGTTTATATTTGTTATTTAATGAAAAATACGGAGTAAATCTGAGTTTTACCTCAAGTTCATTGTGAATATTTTTGTTATTTATACCTTTCCATGAAAATCCGCTACCTACCAAATATTTCAATCTAAAAATTTAAACACTTATCAGCTGTAATGAAAGTAACAGGTGCACTGTATTTTCGAATAATACCATTCAGGTCAATAATCATAGTAAACATCATATTGTAAAGTATTAACATCCACATCAAATCTTTTGTTTTCATGCACACATTGCTTGACAATTCTGTTCTTTATGTAACTGATCCATTTATGTTGTATATCACACATGGATGACCTTATGTGATGTTCATATACTCGTATATGTGTAAAATCACACACATGTATTTATATACGTGTATTGATATATACATATATATCTCAATCACACCT